TCCATGAAAGTGTAATATCATTAAAAATGAGCATATAAAATATATAAAAAAGTAGCACATTTTTAGGCATGACAAACACTAGGCAACAACGCACCTGAAAGCCAACATCTTGGAGTGTCAACAACTGTCACTAAATGTAATCACCTCTAATTACTGTGCAACAAATATTGTATCTTGATAAACCTTGTAGTCCACTTTCACGTGTTGAATAAAGGATCTGTGCGTATAATCACCAATTCATACTAGATTATACTGACTGACAAGACTTCGTAGTTTTTTTTCCTTTCCTGATTTTTCACATAAGAACTTTTGGTCTATACTGTTTTTTTATGTGAGTGTGTGCTGAATTTTCGCTAAGATGATAATTCATTTCTCTACCGCCATGAATTTTCTAGCACGTATCAGTTTGTCATCGTATATGAAAAAAAATCATCCTAAGACTAAAGTAAGAAGTAATTGTATGGCTTTTTGAATAGCCACCAGATGCAACAAACACCGTTCCAGGGTACACTCATGGAGCCAATGGTGTTAGACCTCTGCATCTTCCTACCTTGAAAGACATTAACCTACAGGCAAAGGTGCCTTGGCTCAACTGCTACTGCCCACGTAACCCAATGAAGTATACTTTTTGCAAGGTCAAGTATAGAAGGGAAATGTCCAGCCCAAGCATACTCGTATCGGGCCCACTCCCCGCGATGATAAGACTCTCTATTAGGCCAGGACACCGACCATCACAATACTTCCATGCAACTCACCCAACCCCTCCTCGCCTTGGTGCTCCTAATAATGTCATCTGCGACAAGCTATGATGCCTGGTTCAATAGATCATTTCCTGAGGATAGATATCGCTTCCCCGCTTGCCGTAGCTTCTATGAATCATCTTAGTCGAGATGGTTCTCCAACACCGCATCTCAGCTGGTTTCAAACTTCTGAACATTAGTTCCTATGAAGGAGTAACGAACCCTTATGAGTATGTTGACCATTATTGAAACGTGTCTTTGATGTACTTCTCAATCAAGTGTTTCCCGTCACTCTGAAGGGTCAAACTTTAACCCAGTTCTACTCTCTCCTAAGAGAAGTACATCAAAAACCCTTATGAGTATGTTTCCCGTCACTCTTAAGGGTCAAACTTTAACCCAGTTCTACTCTCTCCTAAGGGGCACTGTCAACACCTTTAACGAGTTGGCTAAGCTATTCGTGAAACACTCACAAATCGAAGGATCATTCAAGATTCATCCCACCTCTAGAATTCATTAGAGCGAAGGAGAGTTGCATAAGGACAACTTTCATACTCATGAGATCCCAACGGTGGATTCTGAATTGCTGAGAGGAGTTTTTCTTGAATGGTTTCTCCTAGGACGCTTCTACTCACTGTTGATTCAGGAGATGAGCCGCTCTTATGCCGATCTTATTCATCACGTCGTAGCTCAGATAACTGCAGATAAATCCTTTA